CCCGGCCCTGCCATCAGCAGGGACACCTTCCACTAGACCAGGTTGCTCAAAGCCTCATCCATCCTGGCCTTGAACACTTCCAGGGAGGGGGCATCCACAACTTCCCTGGGCAACCTGTTCCAGTGTCTATATAAAACTCAGATTTGTGAGGGAAACCCTTTAAAAGGTAGGTGATGTCTCTCCTTCTTGGTCACTAAAATGTAAACTGTTCTTTAAGACTCACAAGACAGTCAGCTAGTACCACTGGTGATCCCATCGTGTGCCAGGTGATGAATAAATAAGCACCTAAGGTTGTTGTCCTCCTGCCTATGAAAGTCCTACGCTATCCCTGAGAAATTCAAAACATTTTTGAAAGGAGGAAACCAATATTTGGCTGCTGGGACATATTTACCACAGCAATCAGGGCAGGATTGCTGAAGCAGACTTCCAGCAACGCAGATACAACTGCATTTTCTCTCTAAATAGCATCCTGGGTCTAACATATCACTGGCAAATCGGGAAGAACTCATCCACAATATGACAACTGGGATGTGGTCATGGAGGCTGATGTCAGCTTGGGAACTAGGGCAATGGTAAGGTACTCAAGGCTCCTGGGGGGTGCATGAAAGGCGTTCAGAAGTACAGCAGCCAAACATCAGTGTGGGATTTGAGAAGCAGGACTTGGGTCAACAGTAGAAGAAGGATGTGAGACAAGCTGGGAAATGAGAAGTCAGCAAGCCTGACATCACCTCAGTGAGTTCAATTAGCAGAATAAAAAGACCTCTTTACTAAATTGAAGGGCCTTGGCCGTATCCTGTGGAGAAACAGGTTCTCTCTTTAAGAAATTATGGTTACCAGTTGTTCAGTGTTTACCACAACAGAGCTGGATGATCATAAACTTCAGGAGGAGGGGGAAAAGAAGAGGAAATATTTTTGTGTCCTGTCAGTGATATAGGCTAATTCTTAAGTGGGACTAGGGAAGACATGAAGTTCATGTAATTAACAAGTCAAAATTTCAACCAGAGAACAAGTACTAGTACTGGTAAGAACAAGTACTGGCTTCTGAAAACACTCACTTTAACAAAACAGCCTGATTTATAGCTGTAGAGAGACATGGATGGCAAATAAATGAAAGAAAGAAGCACTCTACTATTAGCAAATCAATCCTTTGTTATCATCTCCCATACCTCTTTTGTCACAGCTTGTACCTCTACAGGCATCGGTGTAGCAGGTGACTTTGGCTTCACAACTTTTTCTTTCTCTGTTTTTTTCTCTGGTACTTCTGATAAATTTTCCATTATATTTTGGAGCAGATCAATTATTCTAGAATCTGCAAATACTTTAGCAATATCAAGAGCATTCTTTCCTGTATTAAAAAAAGTATATAAATACCTGTATAAGTCATGAAAATGAAATTTGGCACCTGTTATTGCAACTGGATAATGCCACAACAGTCAACTGAATTTAACCTCTATTTTATTAACCATTCAGTGTGCCAGCAGCGTGCCTGATATTGGTGCAAGGACTGGCAGTCACCAGCACTGCTTGCAGAAATAAGGCCTTGCAGGAACAAGCCTTGAAACAAAATATTGCAGGAATTCTTGGTGTGGTGGCTTTGCTTTTAATGTCCTGGCATTTACAGCTTAATATAATGGTCTTGCAGGTTGTAATTTTGATCTTTGAGAGCTGAGAGCATTTAATGCTAAGGGGTGGCTAGCATAGTACAAGGTTAGGAATGTAAACCAAGCTATTGTAGGTATCTATCTCTTCCAGTGCTTGCTCTGTGGCTGGCAAGAAGTCAAGGGAAAGCCCCGTGGTTTAAATGGGGCTGAACACCTTTAGTGCTTAATAAGGGGAAACTCTCCTGGATCTTCTGAAATGAGACTCTGTGGCTGTAGAGTAGTTGCGAGACTAAACTGCTGTGAGAATTGGAGCTTCACATGGTAACAGAAACAGAGAATACACATCCCTTCTACAAGCAGGGTTTCACCTTCTAGGCATTTTGGGAAGGAAAGGCTCATTATATAGCAATATTGCTTCCTATGTTACAGCAAGGGCTTACACTGTGATAAATGTTAATTGTTTAAATTACTCCAAAAATAGAGGAAATAATACTGAATGAGGAGGTAATGCTTCAGTATCAGTTAAAATTTGTTTTTCTTTTAAGTATTTTTTTTTCCTCAGGGAGTAATATTTACATGCCAAGCAGCAAGAAATTTTTTTAACCAGTGCTGCCTGTGCATAAAAATAAGTGATTTAAATGGATGGCAGAGTACATACTGGCCACAAGTAAAATCTAATTTTCCATCAAATATTAATAAGTAGCTAGAATTTTTTTCATTAAAGCCACTTATAGCTCTGTATGTATCCTGTGAGGAGCAATAGCCTCCTTAATAATGTAGTTAATCATGTTACTTTATTTTCTAGATGCATAAAACCCAGGAAAGCTGACTACTTATAACAGTGACTCCGCACTGTAGAAAACTAATTGAACTTAACTCTTACCTTCACCCTGATCCTGACAGCAACCATAAATTCAGAATACTTCTCAAAGTGTTCCAAGAACCCCCCCCTTTTAAAGAAAAAATAAAATATGTATACATATAAGGAAATGGGCCTTTTGGGAAGAGATTGATATTTACCATTGCTGTTTGTGATTTGGATGTCAGCACCTGCAGTGATAAGAAAATAGACTATATCCAATCTGCAGATCTCAATGGCTCTCATTAGCGGGGTTGCGTTGCCAATCGCAGGCGCATCCACTGCTGCTCCAGCCTTCACTAGCAGTTCAGCGATATCTAAGTGTCCGTTATAGCAAGCGTGATGGAGGGCAGTCCACATGAAATTGTCAGTTGTGTTTACATGAGCCCTACAAAAGAGTAAGAGGAGTTGTGGCAGATGAAGCTCACTGCTAGATAAGAGTAACATCCACAGCTCCAAGTACAATCAATATTAACTGCCCATTCCGGTGGCATATGCAATGTAAATAAATATTTTCATATTTCTGCTGCTACTCTGAAACCATTTTGGTATCTGACATATAGCTTGTCATGGAATATTAATTGTAAGAGTGTTCCTGGGTGGTGATCATATCCCCCTCTAAGGCAATACAGTGTCTTCTATATGGAGGTTTTCACAGGTAAAGAGAAAAACAGGCATTCAGACAGCTTAGTCCCATAAAATGCTACTAGTGTTTGTGCTCCAGCTGCACTGAGAATGGCAAAAGGCAATTTAAGGAATTGAAAACAGAATGCTTCTGGCCCAAGAACAGGTTCTCTAAAACACGTGTCAAAATTGCCTACTGTCCAATTTACAAATAAGTTAGAGAAGGTCTATCTCAGAAAATCCGAGGATTTAAAACTTTTTCAGCCACTGTGCCACTGGACTAGATCTGTTTCTGCTCCCCTGTTAAAACTGGCATGTTCTGGAGGATGCACGGGCTAGTTTGGGGGAGACACTTGCAAAATGCTGCTTTCAGATGAAGGTGAGAGTAAATTCTCCAGAACTATCAGTTTTACCTTTGTTATTTTTCTGTTACTTAGCTGTTATGGGTTATTCATATTCAGTTTTCATCTACTTTTTATTTCCATTAAAATAAGCAGTTCCAGTTATTCCACTTCCACAACCCAACCTTCCTGTCTGTACCGATACTCTGCCTGCCCCCGAATCCTTGTTCCTAACTTCATTCTATCAGAAACAAACCGATCGAAGGAAGCAAGGACAATACAACACTGACTTAAACATTCTTCAGCATTTTTTTCCTGATAAAACATTGAATGTGCCTTTAGCCCAAATTTAATTTACTTCTCAATCTTTCTGGAACAAGATAAAAAGTAGATACCACCAAGTTATGTTTAAAGCCTAGAATTTTCCATAGCTCTGGATAAATGTTTTGTTTTCTATTTGATATGGATTTGTGATACTGGCTATATTGTCAAAAGTATTTGAACTCCCATGCCAAACTGCAAGTCCATTCTGCTGAGAGATGCAAACCTAAACACTGCACTGATAACTTTCCTCTCCACTTTCTAACCTCCGACAATTTAAAAATCTCAAAATTGGTGCTATTTTTTTAAACTAAGTTATTACATTTCTAGGTCTAACTGTTAAACATGATGAGATGTGACTCCAGTGCTGCCTAGTGAAAGGCTTTCCTTGATGAAAGCAGTGGAGATTAATTTGCTAGATTAATTTGCCAACTTTTGCATCCTTGTCTTTGGAAGACCTGAATATACACATTTACACATCTTTCTATACGCTCCAGGAATGTCAGTGTAATTACCAGGGTGTGTAAAGATCCATGTGCTGTTAAGCCTTTGCAGGAACTGGAGCAAGGATTACAGCCTGAGAAATGAATGTTAAATTGAATTCTATCTACAAGTAGAGAACAAAGCCAATGTAAATATCTTTGAAAAATGTTCATTTAAGCGTTTATGTGAACGACTGTAGGACTACAGCTGGCTGACAATACAGAAAAAGAGATTATGCTATTACACAAGTATGACTGAATCTTTCTTGAATTGCTTTCATTTTTCAGCTGTCATTGAGATTTTTCACAAGTGGGTCTGTAGGCTACAGAATTGCTGAAGCACTTCTCAAGTGAGGAACAGGCTAAATGGCAGCAGGTGCTTCTGCTGTAAATCCTGCTGCCTCAGCCTGCTGAGGCTGCAAAGGAAAGTGATTATAAGGCTTATCGCCTTAAAACATTTGCATGCAAAGGCTCTGGCATGTACAACAGGGAAGTCCAGGATTGCCTTGATGATTTCAGACAAGCCACTTGAGCCAGATTTCCCCCAAATGATTTATCTAATTTTGAGAGTTCAGTTTTGAGGATGTGCTATTTGAGACGTGGGTGTGAACTAAGTGCAACTCCAGTGGACTAGATTTGGCAGGCACTCTGCATCTGACTGAAATGTCAACAGCCCAGACACCAAAAATGTCAGACCTGGGGAACTTACCTCTTGGATATTTCTATCTCCCTGTTACTAAAATGTGAAAAAATAATAAACTAACCCTCTGTAACTCCAATCTTAGGGAACTAACTTTAATACTAAACGTTACAGAAATAAACCCTAGTCTGTTGCATCCAAATGTTCACTGGAAATTATGCTTTTGAAAGGCTTTCCAAAATAGCAACTTAAAAAAAAAAAGAAAAATCTCTGAGATGATCTTACCCCTTTTCCAGAAGATACTGCACAACATCTATGTTCCCACTTGCACATGCAGTCATCAAAGGTGTTTTGTAATATTTATCTTTTATGTCTACTGGCACACCCTCCTCAAATGCTTTCTGTAGAGACAGAATGTCTCCTGCTCTGACGAGGTAGTTAATATTCATATATGTTTTCCTTGGCTCATCTATATACCAGGCGCGGTCGTCATGCACGGGATGGGCAGATGGGTGGTCTCGGTTAAAATGGTAGCTATTAGCAATGCCCTGAATCACCTCAATCATGTACTCGGGGATGCCATCTTCCCTACGCGGGCACGCGCTCTTCGGAATAACACAGATCGGTACAGGGACGGCGATGCCTTTTTTGCCTCTTCGTTTCTTCCCTTTCTTCCCTTTCTTCCCTTTGGGCCCAAAGGAAGTTATAAGATAGTTTTTCTGCAAGTATTTAGAGCCTTTGAAAAATTCTTCTATGTTGATTCCCTCAGGGTGAGATCCTTCGTGCATTTCAGCAATACTTTGTATTTGCTCAACGTCCACAAAGGCACACTGCGTCTTAATGACTGATATAAAATCATCTTTAGGTACCATCCCATCTCCTTGGCTGACCTTCTCAAACGCATTGCGGAGGGCAGCCTGGTGCTCTAAGGACCAGTCATATAGCCTCAGTGCCCACTGGGGGTTGTCCTCCTTAGCCCCAGCCTTGGACATTTTTTTAAAGGTAGCTTCAATTTTGCGCAATTGTGCTGCTGCTGCTTTAAAACCGCCTTCTTTGGCAACAGCTCTTGGGGTCTGTGTCAACAAGTTTCTCCAGGTAGGATCACAGCCTAAAAATATGGACACAATGTCACTGATAATGCAGCGGAACTAGTAATTACTGATTCCATAATATGAGAGACTTGTAATAGACATGCAACTCATTGCCACGGGTCTACAATTTTATACTGTCTTAACTATAAACAGTGATAGGAGATGGAACCACATCATCAATCTCAGACTGGAAGGTTAGCCAGGTGTCTGCATTAGTTTCCCAAAGGGAGATTCGTTGGGTAATCTATTGCTCTGTGTAACCACTCAGGCAGAAATTCAGTGAAAATTTTACATTTTTACTTAAAGTGGTGAGCAACATTAAGAAGAAACAAAGTAAGATTAAAATGTCACTCACTGTTCTATACCCCAACTTTGCAATTTGGTGATGGAGCACTAGGTAAATGTTTGAATCACGAGAAGAGAATGTAGGATTTTCTATGGTGCTCTTGAAGCAAAGCTTGAAGTGATATAATTATCTGATTAAGTTAGAAAATGATCAAAGCTTCTTTGGAGTATGCTTCAATGCCCATGGGTGCCAGGTTTTCTCCATGTCTACACTGAGGTAATTTTTTATAATGATCAGCAAACCAAAAACTAATTTTTTATTGGAAGATTCATTACGATACTTCTAAAAACAACTAAAACCAGAAACACTTAATACAGTGCAGTTCAGAATTATACAAACCCATGGTGTTTCTGCTGCTTTCTTTAAGAAATGTTTTATCTCAGCCACATTAGTAGAAATAAGTCATAATAGCCTATGTTAGGCGCTTCTTAATGAGAATTACATAAGCCACATGATATCTCAGAGAGTCAAATCTTTCATAAATGCTCAAGAAAAAAAGAATATATATATATATATATTCCTAGGTTGCCCAAGGAAGTTGTGGATGCCCCCTCCCTGGAAGTGTTTAAGGCCAGGCTGGATGAGGCTTTGAGCAACCTGGTCTAGTGGAAGGTGTCCCTGCTGATGGCAGGAGTGTTGGAACTGGATGATCTTTAAGGTCCCTTCCCTCCCAAACCATTCTATGATTCTATGATTATATATATATATATATATACACGATAGCTGGAAAATAACATTTTTAATGTACCTCTTTGTCCTATAAACTTGCAGCAGTTTGTAAATCCTCCCTCTGCAGCATAATGAAGTGGTGTGTTACCATTCATAGCAATCAGGCCCAAGTCTCCATTGTAAGCTGAAATAATCCTCAAAATCTAGAAAAACAAAGACAGTACCACCAAAAATCTTGTCTGATTCCTAAGATGGAGAAGTGTGAGAATGATTTACAAATCGATGCAATATCACATATTCCCAGTGTATATAGTGAACTTCTTTCCCATGCCCAGCTGATCAATGTGTGCATAACGTTCAAGTTTTCTATAGCACTACGCTTACTCAACCTTGTTCAGTTGTAGGCATCGAGGACAATCTTCACTCCTGCCAGCCCACTGCAGTCCACTGTCTTAGAGTGACTCCCAACACTGCATGCACAATCCAAACTGAGTAATTTTATATGCTTTTAAGATATTATCGGGGATAACCTTGACAGGCTTGAGAGGTGGGCCTG